AACGTACATGTATGTAACAGCTGCTTAGATTTTCTGTTGGATTGCTTAATATTTTCATGAAAAACGTATACACATTCATAGAAATAACGTACATGTATGTAACAGCTTCTTAGATTTTCTGTTGGATTGCTTAATATTTTCATGAAAAACGTATACACATTCATAGAAATAACGTACATGTATGTAACAGCTGCTAAGATAAGAAGTAACGTACATGTATGTAACAGCTTCTTAGATTTTCTGTTGGATTGCTTAATATTTTCATGAAAAACGTATACATATTTATATATGAAATATAAGCTTGTTTTACTTTATATTTATAACAACTTTTTATGTTGTTGGACAACATGTATTATCCACTTTTTCTGCACTTAGAGATATAAGTAATTACTAAAATTACTAAAGTTTTTCCGTCAACTTAGGCCTAGTGGTTAGGACGCTTGACTCACTAGTCGCTGGGCACGGGTTCGAATTCCATCATCGAACATGCCCTTTGAACCGTGGGGGAGCAATAACATGACGGCCAATCTCACTATTCAATTAGAGTAGCCAGAGTTGGTTGTGAGTGGTAATGACTTTAGTACATTACGTCATAATTAGTGACGGATAGCACAAATAGCCCTCGAGTAGGTTTAAGCGAAATTCAACAAAAAGAAAAAAAAACAACAATAAACAAAGCTACTTGCGGCTAGTAACTACTAGTGACAAGTAAAACAATTTGAATATAGATGTATTGTTAACTTATCAACACATATAATCTTGTAAACAAATGTTGTACCTGAGGGCAAACATTTGAAGTTTTTATTAACCAAAAAACAAAATAGCGATTGTCTAGTTACGTTTATAATTTCTAGACTCCCTTGGTTTAAAGTTCAAGGATTTCATAAATTGTCGATAACCTTCTGGTATCTTTCAACCTAATTTCAAAGTTTTAATAAACTAGTTAAAATACAAACCCTAAATAAGCTTTGTTTTACTATATTGTTGCTAAGAATATGTTGTAACACATAAACGAATACATCCAATGGTCTTGTAACTTTAAATATTGAATGGTTGAATATGTTGAATGTTTGTTTGTGTTGAAGCCCAAACCTACACAGTGAGCTATTTGCACTGTATTCACCAAAGGTATCTAATCCCAATTTGTGGTGTCATAAGCCCACAAGCTTACCACTGAGCCACCAGATGGCAACTCTATTGTACATTCTCCTAAATAGAAGCTAATGAGATGCGATATTTCAGCCATATTAGTGACTTTGCAAAGATGAAATGAGACGAAGTAATGATCATGACACGAGTACAATTAATATCATGATACATTATAGATAAGATACGTATACATAGGTCCTGTTTTTAAAAAAACAATTATTAAACCAACATAAAACTGAAAACATATCAAGACACCAACACGAAGTATCTGCTAAATGAAAACAAATACCGACAATTGTAACAAAGATTAATAATAATCAAGGATCAATTTACTGTTTCTATAAGTTTACTATATAGAAATATTATTGGAAACAAAAGACATGTTATAAATATCTACTCAGACACCTCACAAGTAAAACTAATGTTTCCTGGTCTTCAAATACATGGTGTATGAATTATTATAGTTTTTGACTTGAGAACCTACACGTACATCTTTTAATAAACGGACATACAGTCATGGAAAACATTTTACTTTTGATGACAATCTGTGAGCGATTATAAAGAATGTTGTAACTAGATATTCTCAATTTCAACAGGAATGGGTTGCATTAAAACCAGAAGACTGCCACATCATTGGGCACAGTCTGGGTTCTCATATTGCAGGATATGTCGGTGAGCGACTGACTCGATTAGGTCGTATTACAGGTATGGCATTAATACTTGAGATGGAAATGCTGGATCCATACACCTTTAATGAACATTCCTTTTTGGTTATAAAAATAAAAGACCATAATGATTTGAAACTATCTTTTGAAAACAGATAAAAGTCATGTTCTTTATTTACCTTGAAAGTTTTTAGATAATTTAGGGTTAGCTGTACCCATTAATTCAAATTATTCTAACACGATTACACGTGCAACACCGTAATTTCAAGAAAAAGAAACACTTTTAGATAATTTTTAGTGTTTTGTAACATATTTATTTGAACCTCAGAGAGTTTGTATGAACAAGATTAACAGATATGAATAATATGAAATGCGATATTTAATGTTTTACATAAAGAATACATTTCTGGTTTTCGAGGTAAGAAAATTAGAGATTCTCGAAACTGCGATAATTGTTTATATTCTCAAAATGACAAAACAAAATATTAATTCGTCAAACAGCAGGAATATAAAGAATAATTTGTAATGCGTTAAGTAAGATTTATCATTTTATAAAGCCCTCTCTCTGTCAAGAAACACACGTATCGAATCAATACCTTAGTTAGTTCCACAGTGAAAGGTTATAGAATAATTGAAATTGAACCAACTATTTAGGAGAAAGCCTATCACGTGAAAGAGATAGTTAGAGAGATGAGAAATACAGAAGCTCATTCGTGCAAGTCATAGACTATGAGAAAAGCCTATCACATTAGGGAGACAACTAGATAGAGAATAAATTCAGAAATTCATTCACACAATTCCAAAAATTAAGCACAATAAGACTTAGTCACTAGGACAAAAGAAAACAAGTACCCAAAATAAATTTTGAAACATGAAAAAAGGGTATTGGTGGCCATATTTCAATCATTCGTAAAAATAAGAATAATTTTATTTAGTAGGCTTCATCCAACCTTTACGTGGACACCCTGTGGTAAGTAAAAACTTCGTTATTTTACACAAGGTAGTCTGTCAGTAGCTAAATTAGGTGTATTATTCTCGTTATCATGTTATTAGAATGGAATATGATAATACAGGTCACAATGAATATACAGTAGTGAATAGAAGACTACTGTTACCAATGTTAGTAGTATCTTAATTATGAGCATCTACTGAGATTCTTCAGGCTGAATGATAAATTCCAAAACGAACTTCCCACACCAATAAGCATTCAATACATTTTAGAATATTTTTCTGATAACTTTTAGAAATGACGACTGTTACTTTATCGGCACGCAGTAAAATTTTCCATCGTTAACAAGACAAATTAGATCATTATTTTACTTCAAAAACATTTTATCATCTGATGGTATAAAACAAGAAGACATATTTCAGGAAGCATAAAAACAAAATCTATTTATTCCATCAACACAATTATTATTAGTCGTTTAACTTTTTTATGTAATTCAATAACTAGATTTAATCAATTTGTGTTAAAACATTACAGATGTTAAAATCATAAATAATATTCAACGTTAAACTGGTACACAATTAAAAACATTTTATTTAGGCCTATCTATGGCCTTCAAAAAGTTGACGGCTCTCCCTTTTTTTCCCTTATAAATTCTCTTTTTAGGGTCTGTAATTAGGTCACTGTTGTTT